TTTAAGAAATGCTCAATATTGCAAATACACATGCATTTTCTAAGTAAAACTTGTAATAGAACGTTATTGTTATATTATATCTTAATATAACTTATATATTATAATATAACTTATTAAGTTATATTACGAATAGTTAATTTATTTATTGGTGAATTCTTTGGACACGAATTGTAGAACAGTACAGACATTTTGGTAGTTTAGATATTATTAAATCCTTGAAGAAAAACTTATGTTCTACAAAATTTTATTTACGTGATTTCTAAGAACCTTGTTTTAATTGAATAGTTAGGTACTATTTTCAAACTATATTTAAATTATTATTATAGTTTTAATACTGTATAATTTAATTTTTTGATATTACGCAAAATTTTTGTAATTGTTCGTCGAAACTCAACATATTAATTTATTATAGCACTAGCGACTCACACTCGCTCCGCTCGAGTTCGTCCCTAGTTACGTTTAATATTTAGTATAGATTTTTCAAAGATGAAATATTTTCACGTAGTACAAAGTATCCTATTGGCTCGGATAACCAGCTATTATTATACAAAATTTCATCAAAATCTGTCCAGTGGTTCTCTTGTGATGCTTTCCCAGATAGACAGCTGATAGACAAAAATATAGATAATAATGACTATTTCAATAAGATGTTCCAAAAAATATTTAATGTACAGATTCGACTTAGTTATTATTTTACTATATGTATAGATTATAGATGACTTCAAAAATGTATTTTAGTAAATAATAATGAATAGTTTTTGAAATATATGCCATATTCATATAAAATTGTAGAACAATTGTATAATATGGTCGAAGCAGTTCATTAATTCAATTTAGTAACAATTTGATCATTTTAGTTGTTTCATTTTTAAACAATTTACACAATTATACGTCATTATATCATCATTATCATCATCATCATTACCATAATCACGGATGTGATTTTGGCAGTAAAAAATAAATGTTCTATATGATTTATGTATAACTAGCGACTTACCATTGCTTCGTTCAGTTTGGAATAGATTTTATTTCCTATTTTTTTTTCTCGTGAATTTTTCCGAGGGTTTTATAGTTATTCTGCTATTCGGAGCGAAGATAAATCCAGCAAATCAAATACACGAAACTCAGTCCAGCAGTCGAGTTATACCTAAGTGTTGTAACAAACCCGACTTTGTTTTTTTTTATATATAGATGTATTTGTTTTTATATGTAAATTATTATTATCTTTAAATGATAACACATTTTTTTTATATTTTGCCCTTAAGTGTTTCTTATATAAACTTTATTTATTACCTACTGTTAATATTATTCTTTGGATTAAAACAGATCATTCAATTTTTTTTTTAAATGTGACCATGGATCGTCATTGGCTTGTTGGATCATTATATATGACAGGGTTGATCACTTTTTTATTATTCTTTGCCGTCAAACACCTCTATTATATATTTATTAAAATTTAATATAAAAGGATTCGTATATTCTAATATAAAAATTTGTAATAAAAAATTTTTAGGCTTAAAATATTGAAAATTTGTTTTTAGAAGATAACAATTACGTAGTCCATAGATGTTTTTAACTCTGCTAGATTCTTATATATCAGGACCTACTTTTATCTAGTTATATTATTGTAAAAAAACTTAATTCAAAAATAGGTATATAAGATGTGAAGATTAATACATATAAGCAGATAAGATTTAGATCTTCCGTTAATTTTTTCTTAGTTATCAACCAGATATTTTTTTTTTTATTTCTGTTTGGCGGCTTTTTTATATCACTGCGACCATTTCTGGTCTATTGTGATCGCCGCTATTTTGTACTAGAGTGAACCACTAAACCCTGCTGATGTTAAGAACTGCAGGATTTTCTTAGGGTTGCACTCTTTTATTTCATCTAGGCTTGGAAATTGTTTACCTAGATGAATACTACGTTTGTGCATGAGCGGTCTACATTCCCACAGAAGATGCAGTGGCGTTTCGTCTGCCTCCCTGCAAATTCTGCAGGTTCGCGTTTCGCTCAGCCCCAGGTTGAACATGTGCTTATTTAAGCAGCAGTGTCCAGTAAAGGCCCTTACCAGTATTCGTAAGGTTTTTCTGTTTAGCCCTAGCATAAGATTGTTAAACCTTTTGTCGTAGGCTCTAATTAATGCCTTGGAGTGATTCATTCCATTTGATTCAGTCCAGATCTTGCTTAGCGAGCTTATCGGCACACTCGTTGCCAATTACACCTGCATGACCCGGTACCCATCTTAACACTACTTTGTTACTTCTTGCTAAGAGGTTTAGTCGGTCCATGCACTGCTCCACTAACTTTGATGAGACTATGTTTGAGTCCAGCGCTAGTAGTGCAGCTTGACTATCTGAATTTATATAGATAGTTTGATTTGTGTAGTGCTTAGACAAATTAGCTTCTACACATTCTAGAATGGCATAGACTTCTGCTTGGAAAATAGAGGCAAATTGTCCGAGGTGTATGCTTTTGCTAAACCTCGGTCGCTCTCCATATATCCCACAGCCAGCCTTTGCTTCTATTTTTGAGCCATCTGTGAACCAGATGAGAGATCCGTTTTTATGGATTACCTGGCTTTTAGTCCAGTCTTCCCTTGACGGAAATTCAATTGTATAATACTTTACAAATGAGTGCCGAATTAACATGGCATCAGTCGTCATACCAAGTAGCGGCATTTCTTGTAATGAGTCCTGTAGGGTCCTCATTTTTCGTGAGAGCCAATGAGTTCTGCCTTGGATTTTAGCTCTATGCATGCTGGCTTTTGCCTCCTTTTGTATGAAAAGGTCTAAAGGTGGCAGCCCGAGTAATGCATTTAGTGCCTGACCAGGGCACGTAGACATGGCTCCTGTGATCATTAGACAGGCTGTTCTTTGTAGGCTGTCTAGTTTTTGAATGACTGTCGTCTGCTTGGCCTTATTGGACCAGGCTACCGATGCATACGTGATAATTGGCCTCACAATAGCAGTGTAAGTCCAAAGTGTGTTTTTGGGATTTAACCCCCAATTTTTACCCAACATGCGGCCACTTATTCCCAATGCCATCTTGGCTTTACTTAGGACTGCAGTTAGATGCGGGTTCCACGTCAGTTTTTGGTCTAATGTTAGTCCCAAGTATTTGACTTGCGTGGAAAATGCGATTTGTTTGCCATTAAGCTTTGGCATGACTAGTTTGTCTAACCTTCGCTTGTTTGTAAAGGGCACAATGACAGTTTTGTCAGCGTTGACTGATAGGTCACTTCTAACACACCAGTCACTGACAATGTTCAGACCCTTCTGCATTATACTTGAAAGTGTGGATTGGCAGAAGCCCCTAGCTATGATTACCAAGTCATCAGCATAGCCTTGCGCATCAATGCGGAGTTCTGCCAGTTTGTGTAGTAATTCATCCACAGCAAGTGTCCATAGTAGTGGGGATAGAACTCCCCCTTGCGGACATCCTCTTGCTGTGGATATATAGATAGTTGTGTCGTGGAGGGCTAGTTTTGCTCTTCTGCTGGTGAGCATAGATTTTACCCACTTTACCGTTGTTGGGTCAACATTTTTAGTTATCAACCCATTTATCAACAGCGAAGTAGAAGAGTTATCAAAAGCACCTTCGATATCTAGAAATGCACATAGTGCTATTTCCTTGTCTTCTAACGCCTTTTCCACTTGGTCTATAAGACTTGTAAGGGCAGTCTCTGTTGATTCACCTTTACGATATGCATGTTGATTAAAGTGGATTGGACTGTTAGTCAAGACTTCATCTCTTATATACCTATCCAGTACCTTCTCCATTGCTTTGAGTAAGAATGAAGAGAGGCTTATCGGTCTAAAAGACTTTGGTTGGCTATAGTCTTTTTTACCAGTTTTAGGTATAAATATGACCCTAACAAGGGTCCATATGTCTGGTACATATCCCCAGGCGAAGCTCGTTCTGAAGATTTTGATCAGGTGAGGAAGGAGGATGTTCACCCCTTGCTGCAGTAAGATTGGTGGTATCCCGTCTTCCCCTCTCGCCTTGTAGGGCTTAAAGGAGTCTACGGCCACGACCAGATATTATGTACATATGAAAAATATAGAAAAAAATAAAAAAAATTATTTATATCATCGCATTGAAATTTTGTTAATGGTTTTTTTTTCTTTTTTTTTGTTATGTATTTCAGATGGAAGTTCTTCATTCAGTTCATGATTCAGTGGAAAAAAGCGAGGTTTTAGTGGGGAAAATAATAATAAATTGTGTCCTTAAAATGAAGTTTTTTCAAGTTTTTTCTAGTTTCCAGCAAACCAAATTTTTAGAACCGGGACACATAATATGTGTACCTTACAATATTAAAAGAGTAACTTGCGTATAACTATAGACTATACCCTCCAGTATACACTTGATAAACTTAACGAAAAATTATGATATTTTATCTTTTTGACCCATTATTTTGTAATAAAGTATGAAAAATTATAAAAGTCATCATTGACATTTGAGGTTGAACCTACCTCGAATAAAACGAGTCGATTAAGCAAAAAATCAAATCAGATATTTTTTGTAGATCGATTTATTCCCTACAAGTATGTGTTTTTAATTTGACTAGACATTAATTCGTTTGGGCGTATTAAAAAACCAAAAAAAAATATTAAAAAATCCCTTGTTATTTATATGGAAAATCAAAAATCACGCTTAGAGACCTCTTAATATTAAGAATTTAGAGCTGAAACTTTACCAGAATTTTTTTGCGCCATCTTGTACGATATTTTCATGGTAACTAAATAAAAAAAGTTTTTTTTTGGTCCACCCTAAATTATATAGAATCATAAACACATTACCCTCGTTTGCGAAGCACAGTCAGGTAAAAAGAAAAATAATTCAGCATTTCTTTGGCATTATTACGAAATGACATAAAAATTTCATGGTTCTTTGCCAAACGGACTCCTAAAATAATCTTACTGTACAGTTATCAGTTAGCTATATATATAAGAAAACTTGTTTAGTACATTTTAGTATTGGATTGCACAACTTACGAAATGGATCGCGACACAAATGGAAAAAATGTCGTTATAACTGGTGGTGCTGAAGGCTTAGGCCTAGCTATGGTTAAAAGTTTTCTTAAACATGGAGTGAAATTAGTTATCATTCTCGATATAAATGAAAAACTTGGAAATGAGACCACGAAAAATTTGAACCAAACTTATCCTGGCAGAGTCGTCTTCTACAAATGCAATGTTTTAACAGATTTAGATAACACTTTTGATATTATCATTAAAAATCACAAAAAGGTGGACATTTTAGTGAATAATGCTGGAATTCTTGACGAAATTAATATTCGAAGAACTATGGATATAAATATAACTGCCGTTATGGAGTGGTCGATGAAGTTTTACGAACACATGAGAATTGATAAAGGAGGAAGTGGTGGTACAATAATTAATGTTTCATCAATATTTGGATACAGAATCACAGCTTACATACCTTATTATCATGCTTCTAAATATGCAGTGATTGGTTTCTCCAAATCTCTTGGGCATCAAACCAATTTTAATAAAACTGGAGTGCGGGTAGCCACTTTGTGTCCAGGACTAGTGCTTACGAGTTTAAGTTCAGCTCCGGAAATAAGAGAAAAAGACATGCTCCCATCATTCAAGCTAGATCTTGAAGCGTATGAATGGCAAGGGAGTGAATTTATTGGGGAGGGTACAGTGGAAATATTTAAACAAGCTGACAGTGGCACTGTTTGGGTTGTGGAGGGTTCCAGACCTGCAGCAAAATTGGATATATAAGAAGTTAAACATAAAGTTATTGCGTTTTCGTTTTATAATTTGGGGTGTTTGCATAGTTTTCTTTAAGTCGTTTAATTTTTATTATATTTTAATGCTGGTGCTAATGTGCTTAATGTGGAATAAAAATTAAGTTAATTTTGCAAATGAACGTAAGCTAGCTCAACTTGAAAAAACTCATGATGGTTAAACACAAAAATAAATAAACTAAAAATACATTAAAATATTTAAAATCATAATTTTTGTTTCTTTGTACAAATTGGAATGAAAAGCAGTTATTAATACTTTTTTATTAGTGTCAGGCATCTGACAACCAGGACAAAATACTGCCATTTAAAAAAAAACCCTTTAGTAGTAGGTATTATTATTGCACATCGTTTTTAATAATTATGTTTAATCAATAGCTTTTACATATTATAAATTACTCCATTAAGTATAAAGTCATAATTAGCGTTAATCTATACATATAAAACGATCGGATCAATGCATAGCCTAAACCGCTGGTCGTAGAAACGTGAAATTTGGGAGATATATTCCTTATATGATGTACGCATCCGATAAGTAAGGATTTTTCAAAATCATGCCCTAAGGGTTACCCCCTTAAAAAAATGGGATTTAAAGTTTGTATGAAACTCTGTCATTCTTAATGTGAAATACTCGTACATACAAAGTGGTATTTAGCTTTAAGATAAAAAATAAGAAATATATTTGTTTAATTTTTGTGAAAATTCATCGCTTATAGGGATTAAAGGGGGTAATAATCAGAATAACTTGAAACTAAATATTAATGCTCTTTAAAGTCCATGATTTTAAAGTCCGTGACCATGATTGCTGTAAAGCATTGGAAACGTCGGGATATAAAAATCAAAATAAATCCGCTAAAAATCCGAAAAGTTAGTTTTATTTAAAATGTCAAATATTCGCAAAAATCTAAGAAAACATTGATTCATTGTACATAAAGGGTACATAATTTTATTACAAGTACATACTCGTATATGATTTTATTTTTAGCAAATATCTCAGTGTAATTTGTTGCTATAAAATTTTGTACATTATTTTATATTCAAATATAGGCTTCACAGAATAAGTTATAATATACATTTAAAAAAAACTTTTTTAACTAATACAAAAATTTAAAAGATATGTTTTTATTAGTTCTTTACTGCTAAATAATTAATTAATCTCGTTCCTTTAGATTAATTAATATAACTATAATATTTTGTTTGTTGATAGAAAATATTTTGTTGATTAGGTATATCATAATCTATAGGTACATATGTTCTAGAATAAGAATATCTATACTAATATTATAAATGTGAAAGTATGTTTGTAAGTTTGTCCTTCTTTCATGTGGAAACAGAGACGGATTGGCATGATTTTTTGTGTGGACATAGTTAGAGGGCTGGAGAATGCTATATGCTACTTTTTACTGCTGGAGATTATCTCATTCCCACGGGAAAACATGTTACAATACAACCCACAACAACTCATCTTACCTATGTTACATATTATTTAACCGCTAGTGCGGCTCACCCTCGCTTCGCTCGGGTTAGTCCCTAGCTTGATTTCCTATACACATTTTCATCCCCATTTTCACCCCTTTAAGAGATGATGTCCGGTATAAAAAGTATTGAATTGTATGTTCACCTGTCAGACGTATGTATCTCAGTAGCTACCAGCAATCCAAACCACTGAGAGCCTGAGAGGATAGTTGGACACCCCCGGCCCACCTGTAGTCTGGGTGGACTCCTCTGGTACTTCTTTGATAGGAAAAGTCTTCTTCTGACAGAAAAAGCCTCTAATAACAACTAATAATAGGACTATATTGGACAGGTAAAAATATCCTTGATTTCAAGGTGGCCAGGTATGTAGAGTATTTAGGGATGTATGGTTCGGGGCATCTGGTTTTGTCTTTGAAATGTCTTCAAATGGAAAGAGATCTGTTTCAGTGTAAATAAATAAATATGTTGGGACATTAACACAGCACCATCTAGTTCCTTGGTAAGCTACGAGGCTTGTGTTATGGATAACAGATAGTTGATACACTACACATATATAACTTAAAATACATACATATTATAAATATAAACACCCATGACAGGTGTACGAACTACGAACATACACGTTAATCACACAAATGAATGCCACCAGCGGGACTTGAACCCGCGGCCGCTGGCACAGCAACTACTACTTTATAATTCGGACTACTATATAATTTTTATAGTATATACTGCAACATTTAATTAAAAATACAAAAGTTTATATTTGTGTGTATGTTTGTTACTTCTTCCCGCTAAAACGGCTGCGCAGATTTGGATGAAATTTATTACACAGTTAGACTATGACCTGGACTAGCACATAGGCATTAAGGGACTCGAACGAAGCAAGGGCTTAAGTCTCTAGTTAAACATTGTAGCGCCAATAATAAAAAATATACGAATGTTTTGCAATATGGATAAAATGTAACTCGGGTCAAACTGATAAGCTCTTTTTGTTTGAAATCGTAAATAATAATATTCAATGTAGGTACCTACCTATAGATTATATTTTTTTTGAGAGTATAGATTACGAATGTTATAGCTTAAATATACGGCTATATTTAAAAGATATCATTTTTTTTCACATACTAGTGACTTAGTTCCTAGCGATAACGTTCTAATTTTTTTGAACGGAAACCTAATTCTTTTTCGAAAATAAATAGTTATAATATTACAGCTTATACCTGACATCAGCTACCTGATAGTAAAATTCCCATCAAATTCAGTCTAACTTTAGGAGATTAACCGGAACAAGCAAGCAGACAAACAAATAGATAGACGAAGAAAAAGAAAGACGACGAAAAAAAAGTGTTTTTCTGATAAGTACGGCATATAATTTTATATGCATTTAGTAAAATGCATTAATTTTCTACATTACAAATACACACTTAAGGCAGTGGTAGCACAGTGGTAACGTGCTCGCTTGGGAAACCGAGTGAAGCGAGTTCGTTTCCTGGGTCTCGCACCTCTAATATTTTCATGTGTGAATCATTTCCAACATGATTACTACTTATCTTAACGGTGAAGGAAAACATCGTGAGGAAACCTACATGTCTGAAAGAACCTAGCAAGTTTATCAAAAAGACATGTGAAGTCCGCCAACCCGCACTTGGCCAGTGTGAGTCTATGTCCTAATCCCCCTTGTATTGAATGGAGGCCCACGCCCAGCAGTGGAACGTTAAAAAAAGGGACTGAATACACTTCAATTTTGTTTGTCTGTATAGAAGATACGTGCTATATAAATAATGTTCAGAATAAAGACAGATAAAAAAATATTGTGTTCTATTATTCTGTATAGTTTCGCTCTAAAGGACAATGCCCATCGACCTAGACACTTCGGCCCTGCGTGTATATTTGTGCGTAATTATATTGTTTATGTGTATTTTACAATAATTTTTTTCAGTTTAGTTCTCCAAATTTTGCTTTTCCGACCAATTTGGATTTTGGTTTGCTTTCATGCTCAAACAGCGCATTTGGATGAAATTTAGTACACAGATAGGTAGATATATGACCGGATGTACAAAACTGTACATTTTTTCGGTATATAAAGTAGCCTATTTGTTATTCTGATTTATGAATTATATTATGCTAAAGTTTCATTAAAATCCAATCAGTACTTTTTGTGTAATAACCTAAATAAGTTACTATAGTTTTTTTAACTATCCCATGGTTACTTTAATTTACCGGGATGCAAAACAATTTTGACCGTGGATATAAGGTACCACTATGCAAATTTCATTTAAATCGTTCGATTAGCCCGACAGAAACAGAACAGAAACAGAAAGAGAAAGAAAACATCTGAAAAAATCTGTATTTGTTCTATTTCTCTTCTTACATCCACTGACTCGGTTTTTTTCTATGTAGAGACATTCGACCTCTACAAGCTTATTAATGTATAGATAAAATAATGTATAAAATTTCATAGCAACAAATTACACTGAGATATTTGCTATATAAAATCTTATACGAGTATGGACTTGTAATAAAATTATGTACGCTTTTAAGAACAATGAATCAATAAGTACAATGAATCAATATTTTCTTAGATGTTTCCCGAATATTTGACATTTTTAATAAAACTATCTTTTCGGCTGTTCTTTCGGATTTACTTACATTTTTATTTTCCAACGTTTCGAATGCTTTACAACAATCGTGGTCACGGGAGAGACTAACGTTTTAGACGTCTCAAAGGTATTATATAGTTGTTACAGAGAGCTGTAAAAATATTGCTCGTTTCCAACATTGTTTTTTTCTCCTTTCTTTCCGAGTATTTTCATTAAAAATTAAGAAAGCCGCAACAGCAACGACTTGTTCGGTAGACATGAGTGTATACAACTGGAGAATGTATGTAAAATGGAACTGCCGAATATGTTGCTGCAACAGACGTGTAATACAGTGTTGCTTCGATAATACGTTGCTTCAACTAATTGTTGAACTGATGTAAATGTACCTGTAAAAGTGTAATTTAGTCATTACAGACTGTACTTGTCCTCCTGACCGCTATCACGTAAGGCACCGTCACAAGACCAAGTAAGCTGTTATTGTATTTATTTATATATATTACTAGCATTGCCAGCGGCTTCGCCCGCGTTCAGATGACCAAAAAGCAAATTCTTAGGTTTTACATATTAGTATACTCCTACAATGCAGTTTTTATATTTTTTCTCAGAAATGAGATAATTTTAAGTATCCTATATGTTGACCAGAATAACCAGCTATCACCATAAAAAATTTCATCAAAATCCCTCCAGTGGTTTTTCTGTGATGCGGTAACAGACAGACAGACCAGCTCAGTGGAAACGCACTAGTTATATGATACGTTCAAAAGAGGAAAATTGGAGTCGAGAGATCACAAATTGGTATCCCAGCGACTCAAAAAGAAAAAGAGGTAGACAACACCGAAGATGGGAAGATGAAAGTAAAATGACAGTGGGTCCGTACTGGACAAGAGTAAAAAGGGACAGGATCCAATGCAGCGAGTTAGAGCCCAGAGGAAGCCTTTGCCAAGAGGCAAACTGAGATAAGAGATATAATAAGTAGCGGTTACTGTTATTTTTTTAGTTTTTATATTTTAAATGTTTAAGAATTAGTTAGTTAACCTATATAAAATGTCTACATATTATAAATATTTATTCTCAGTAACAGACGCGATTTTATTTTATTTATTTTATTTTTATTTATTTGTTCTGGAACCTGTGATAACACTGATTCTTTGCTATGACTCGAAAATGTTTCAAAAACGAAATTCTGAAAACACAAAACAACTCCAACTTACATTTGTCACAAAAAATCAACAGAGTGACAACAAAACACACACACACACCTACAAACTCACACAAACAAACAACACGCATATAACTTAGTATAAAAACCATGACCATAATATATGATATACTAGCATTGCCCGCGGCTAGAAACTTCTAGTTATTTTAACAAGATTTCCACTGGTTGAGGCATGTTAATATTTCGTTAATATATTTACATTATAATGGATATAGTATATTACCCTTAAGAGATATACATAATATGCTATCGTGGACTTTATTGTTGACCTGTATAAGATACATAATTCGATCATACATTATTTTGTTATATCTCAAAGCGTTTTCGTTGAAAGCTCCCAGACGGGTTATTTTTTCCGACACCTCCAACAAATATCGTTATATTTTAGCCAATGTATACAAAAACTTAACAAATTATATACTTAAACCTTCCTATTGAATCACTCTATCTATTAAAAAACCGCATCAAAATCCGTTGCGTAGTTTTAAAGATCTAAGCATACATAGGGACAGACAGACAGCGGGAAGCGACTTTGTTTTATACTATGTAGTGACTGATATACCTTGTTAAACTCTATTTTAGACACGCGGCGTCTACAATAACGATTTAGCGAATAAAGAAGGTAAAAAATTACCGTCGATTACTTTAAGACTGCTATTTATCAAGTTCATTGGAAAAGCTTAATTTTATACATTAATCTAGACAACTGTTGACGTTTAATATTTCAAAATAAAAATTTGGCACTTTGTTATATTTAACTAGCTATCAAATCTTACTTCGATTGTGCACTTGCGTTCTTAAGGAATTTATTATTATTATATCCTACCATTTTTTTAATTTCTACTCTTAAACTATTGTAGAATGACATCTTGTGTAAGCCCCAAACGTTTGTACGATTTTTACAAAAAAATCTACATGTGGGATTAGATAACCTGTAGGAACCAAAAATGAGATATTTTCCCGTGGTAAAAAGTATCTATGTGTTGACCCGGATAATCAGCTAGCACCATACTAAGTTTCATCAAAATCCCTCCAGTGGTTTTTCTATGATGTGGTAACAGACGGACAGACAAAAATTCTAAAAACTATAGATTCGGCCTCTGTATCGATAATAATGTCTATTTCAATTAGATTTTCCAAAAAATATCTAATGTACAGATTAGGCTTACTTACAATTTTATTATATGTATAGATGAATATAATGGGAAAAAATAATATTTTATTACAAATGCGGCCTATGTCCATCAGTGGACGTGTTTCAGTTGAGACAACGAGAACGACAACGAAATCGTTCTTTTTAATTTATGTATGTATCTAAATAAGTTTAAAACGATATTTTGATGTAAGAAATAGAAAAAAAGTTTTATCATCATCATTATGGTTCTACCGCCCAGGGTGAGCCTTGGCGTGGTGAAATATATTTTTCCAGAAAAAGTGTTTAAAGTGGTGCATATTATCATCTTCGCTTACTTTGTTTAGTAAATGTTATTATATTTAAATAGGGTATAGTTCATAAAAACTTTTTTTTCTATTATAATTTACTATCAGCAGTTCACGCGCATGGAGTCTCGAGGACCTATGGGGATATTATGTACTTACTTAAGCAATTGTTCTATTTAAGTCCAGTGAAAATAGACAAAGGAATAGTGGTAACTGGTAGGCTTAAAATAATTCGTAAAGAGCTCAAAATTGATACAGGTCCTAGATAAAAAAAATCCAAAAAAAATATCAAAAATCTCCACCGATCTCTCATCTGCTAAAATTTTTTATTCAAAAGTAAAAAATATCGATTTTTCGCATTTTTTTTTGGAAAACGGTAATGACGTACCATGGCTGTTTTCAAAGAAAAAAAAAACTATGAATGTAGATTAGACAAAATGTGTAAATAATTGAATTATCTACAAAAATTGTTCCTATACTATTTTCTTAGAATCAATATTCATAAGATATCGCGATTCTAAAAGTTGGACAAGTCGTATTCTACATAATATGCACGCATTTTCACACCACCTATACGGTAGTGTACCTTTTCCATTTGTTTTTTGTTTTCATGTCAAACTCTTTCTATTTATGTGATAAAATCTAATTTAAGCCGCGATATTATCGGCGCAAATGGCACTCAAATTCTTCCAGACGTTATTTCGTGATACACTGAGAAACAAATAAATCCTTTCAGTGACAGAAAATATTTATAATTACATATTTTTAAAGCATATAGGTATTACTAAAAACAAAATGATGTATATACAAACAAAAAAAAATGCTTTTTATAATATTTAATAGTTTTTACTATGGCAATTGTTAAAAGTGGATAAATTCTTTAAACTAGATATTTGCTACAGTAAGATGACAGTAACAACAATTATTTGTGAAGATTCTTTAAAATATGTAAATTACAATTTAATAACCGTGTATGTACATATATATGATGGGATATCTATATTCTGCCGACATCATCTTTAGTGGTTATGAATCTTGTGGGCGTTTTCACGGCTCAATGTGGGCACAAAATAAAGTATTCAATGCTCAACACAATTTGATGATGGAAATGACAATGTTATAAACTTCAAACGATAATTCTAATAGTTTAATTAAGCAGCACTATTCTCCAATAATTCGCCACGGTCAACCAAGGTTACACATAATCTTCAACGAATGTCATGATAGCGCCTCGAGTCTTGACCCCGCTCGAGGCGTCTTGGCTTTTACTTTGATTTTGATTTGACTTAACAAAACATATGACTTTAAACAATAATAAGGTTTCACATTCTAGCAGAAAAATGTAACAAATTAAATTATGATTCATTTCTACTAAATCCAATTCCTCCGACATACATACATTATATAATAATACAAATTTCATACAAAAAAAAATTAAACCTATTGAATTAATATTGTGTTACCAAATTTAAATAATTATGTGAATGACAAGGTGAGAACAAACTTCAGTATAGGAATAATAAAAAGGAGGCAAGTAAAACCCGGATAGACAGCTAGCTTTTTCTGATAGCCCCCTTTCTTTATCGTTTATGTTTTGGTAAATACAAGTTATCGAGAAAAACAAGTCCGTTATCACTTCATCATTATGTCTAGTGATCCGTCCTCACTCCGGTCAAATAAGACCACCACCGTGACCACCGCTCACGTACACTGATAGCCAAATTGATATCCTCCTGATTAATTTCGGCCATGGCAGTCTCTCTCACTAAGACTAGGCAACTGCGCAGGAGATACTATAGTGCCCTGGTGTGCGCCCAGACACAACTTCCACTTTCTATTTATTTTCATTCTCAAAATCCGATGGGATGACACTTCGAAATAACCGGTGTGAGTTAAAGCGCAGGACCGACGGCTTTACGTGCTCTCTGAGGAACGGGAGTGTAACATCGCCAACTTCTCAGCTTCGAGCCACTTCTGAGAATTTCTTTACAGAAAAAATTAATAAGTCTGGTTTTGAGTAGTACTAACTTATTATAAATGATAAAATACCATACTTTACTTTCTTGTAGTACGTATGTATGAAAAACTTGAAAAAAAATATGAAAATATTACAGAACACATGATACGTTTGTTTTTTATAAAAAATTATATAAGGATATGTAAAAGAACCGAGACCACAATAAATGGTCGTTATGTAAAGCTTACATATATAATGGCTTTAACCTATTCTCTCGTGAAGAAACAAAAATAAATATAAATTTATAATAAAATATAAATTTGTTTGTATAATATAATTTATAATAAAATATAAATTTGTTTATATGAGACTAGCGATTTACCCTCGCTTCACTCAGTTTCATCCCCAGGTTCATTTTTATTTTTTTCTAATTCTTTTTCTAAACTAAAAGTAGCCAAGTTACTCCTTATAACATCAGCTATCTACCAGTGAAAGTTCCGTTAAAATAGATCCAGCCATTTCAGAGATTAGTTAGAACAGACAGACAAATAGACAAAAAAATTAAAAGTTGTGTTTTTTGTTACAAGTAGGTATCGTATAAAATTTCATATGCATTTAATAAAAAAACTGTTATTATGACATTACAAACAGATAATTCAATTTTATATATCTGTATAGATAAGATTTGTGATATTTTACTTCCGCAGTTGCTGCATATATATAGGTAGACTTCGGCATATAAAGCAATCATCTTTCGTTTGTTACGAAGTAAACATGGCTAAAGATCTGAAAAATAAAATTGTGTTAGTTACCGGTGGTGCTGTTGGCATTGGGTTTGACATAGCAGATAAATTTCTACAAAAAGGTGCGAAACTTGCAATCTTAGCTGATATCAACGAAGAACAAGGAACAAAATCTGCAACTAAACTTTGCGTAAAATATGGTGAAAACCGAGCAGTTTTTATTAAATGTAACGTTACGAAAGATATGGAACTAGTATTTAAAAAAATTGTAGACACATATAAAACAGTTGACGTGTTGGTAAATAACGCTGGGGTACTCAACGATTTAGATGCAAAGAAAACTATTGATATTAACGTTTTGGCCTTAATTGAGTGGTCCATCAAATTTTGGGAGCATATGAGAACCGATAAAGGAGGAAAAGGTGGCACTATTATTAATATATCTTCAATTTATGGATACAGAGTGGATCAGTTTCTTCCCGTTTACCAAGCCTCGAAGTTCGCTGTCCTAGGTTTTACCAAGTCTTTAGGACATACGTACAACTTCAATAGAACTGGTGTAAGAGTAGTTGCAATATGTCCAGGATTCACTAAGACACAATTAGTAGAGAACCCTAAAATTAATTGGGATAAATGCGTAGAGAAGGATTTCTTGGAGTTTTTGAGTACACAACTTTGGCAAAACGTGGATTCAGTTAGTAACGCGGCTGTGGAAGTTTTTCAAAAAGCCGATAGTGGAACTGCGTGGAGGATAGAAGGCGCCCAACCCATCGCTGAAGTTCTATAATATTAGCGATTCAATGTTACGTTACAAATTCACCACCATTTTGTAAACTTCTTATAAATATAATTGATGATAATGAACTTAATTACATGAACAACAATTCATTGTTGTTCATGTAATTAAGTTCATATTGTCATAGCAAGATGCTGTAGCCCAAAACCATCTGAAAAAGTTGAACCAATTTTAACAGAATTTTCGTTGGCTGATTATTATATACTGTCCTACAATGTGAAAAAAAATTGAACACTAAACTTAAATAAATATGCCCATATCACATATCCATCATTAGTCTACAAGTAAGCAATAGTGTTTTTGTATAATTGTTATTCTCAGAACAATCACAAATATGCATATGAATCCAATTAAAAAATATATTATCGATCACTTAGCAAATATGTCTTAACTATAAACTAATACAAATATAATTTTGTTATCTGAGTTATTGTTGTTATATAATTCTTCGAGTAAAAGTGTTAAATAAAAATTGTAATTTTTATATATTAGGTGAAAGAATAAATAAAATATTATGTTATTTTATCTTTTTTTTGTTGTTATTCTGCCACACTAAAACATTTTTATAGGTGATAATTTACTTAATTGGTAACAAGACTGATTTTAATAGCCAATACCATTGAAGGGCAGGGCAATATTATTTAGTTATCATTACCGTAGTCTATATATTAAAATGATGCAATTTTAATTCTATATAATATAGTAACATCTTTTTATATTTTGAGTTGGATGGACATAAAGAGATAGTGCTCGAAGTCTCTTATAACTCTTCATATAACTTTATGGACATACATAAATAAATGTATATTTTATTTATGTACTTACTTTATTATTAATTTAATTCACTAAGTGTAATAAAATTGATAACATTTCTGTTACTGCCTGCATTGTTAAAGTATTAAGGTCATAGGTACACGTATATTAGTAACTGTTTATCTGCATCGTTAATTTAAAATGTTTCATATTTGAAATATATTTTAATTAAAAAAGGATTGCCGTATAATAATGAATGCTGATAATAAGGACTATTTCAATAAGATTTTCCAAAAAATATTCAATGTACAGATTCCACTCAGAATTTTATTATATGTATAGATATATAAATTACATATTATGTGAGGAAGTAAGAGGTAAGCTCCGGAACTATTTAGTACCTAATTTTAAATATTTTTACAATTAAATAAAATCCAAATATATATTTTTTTGATTAAAATTTTATTATTTTTGTGCTTAAAATCTCAGTGACTGGGTACTTTTAGTGATATATCTGTTTTCTTTGTGATATGGAACGAAGACATAGATGGATAAGCTAAGATAATGCCGAAATATACCCAACCTGTGCAATGAAGTGAAAGTAGACATCGAAAAAGAAAATGTAATCATCAAAAGCGTGCAAGTCATACATAAAAAATATAAAGGTCGAACTGAGAACCTTCCTTTTCGTCGCTTCAAAAGGAAGATATAATATCATTTCTGGATGATATTGAATTGATCTTTCCGGAAAGACTCCCGTGGCCAAGTTTGATGGAAAGAATTTGAATTATCGGGAACGCAAAATCGAAACCACGACAAAAACGGAAAGGATTTTAGTTCTAAATAAGGCTGTTGCTATTCGTACTTAAATAAATACCTTATATATAGAAAGTCATTTCTTAAAATTTAAATATTTTATAAAGGACAAATATTTACTTTTTATTCGTCCTCTTAAAGGACAAATGGACACTCTGTTTATATGAAATGTAATTCGCGATATTCCAAGAAAGTATTATGATGTAGAACCGTACTCAATAATCAATATATTAAATTGTTCTAATTTTGTTCCATAAATATTATTTATTGCTAAAACTTTTCATAAAACACGCGAACAGTGAGGACGTGTGCGATGTTACTACTGATCACTAGTCTATACTAATGTTATAAAGAGCTAAAGTTTGTGAGTTTCTGAATTATGAGTATGTGACGTTGTAGGTTGTAATCTCTGGATCTACTGAGCCGATTTAGATGAAATTTAGTAAGAAGATAGATTGAGACCCTGGAAAGGGCATAAAATACTTTTTATCCCAAAAATCATCCTTAACGAGGGTGAAAATGGGGATGAAAGTTTGTATGGGGAATCAACCTAGGGACGAACCCGAGCGAAGCGAGGGTGAGTCGCTAGTATTAAATAAAGATGTTGAAAGCAATGAAAAAGTACATCATTATACATTCTAAAAATGCATGTATTTATTTAATCTTTTTTAACGTCCCACTGCTGGGCACGGGTCTCCTTTCAATGCGAGGGGATCAGGCCATAGTCCACCACGCTAATTAAGTAAGGTTTGGCGGATTTTACATATCCTTCGAAAATTTGCTAGATACTCTCGGACATGCAGGTTTCCTCACGATGTTTTCCTTCACCGTAAGAATAGTGGTATCATGTTGGAAATGATTCGCACATGAAAATATCACAGGTGCGAGACCCGGGATTTGAACCCGCTTCACTCGGTTTCCCAAGCGAGCGAGTTACCATTGATTTTTCTAAGAATACAAAAATTAAATAAATAACAGAAATTAAATAAATAAACTTGATAAAAATCCTAAACGTATTTTACTAAATTATATTTAACACGTATAAAAATCTTCGTTTTTTTCATAAAAATGTTCACCAGACTATGTAGAAATGTTATTAAGCAATCTCCATTAAATGTTGTTTATGCCTTAAACCGAACGATTCCTTTGCAAATTTAATTAAGAGTCCCGATAATCATACTTTAACGTCTATCTCGCAGTAAACATTCTACTTTTCTTATTAGTGCTACAAAGATCTTTATCAGAGCCGGCGGTGTGCTGTTAGAGATAAGTTTAGTTGATTAAAATCTTAACATTGTCTGACATATCGCATTAACCTTCTTCATAATATATTAACTTGTGAAGGGTAAATGAGTTAGAACAGTGAACTTTTTCGAAAAGTACCTACCTTAGAAAATTGAACCTGCAATTATTGGCAATTACGAAAAGAGCTTGAATTGTCTATTTTGAATAGTTTCATTTCATTCATTCATTTATTTATTTTAATCATTTATTCATTCATTCTTTGGCATACTAAGTCATATGTCATAAAATATAAAAAGCATTGTCAATGACTATAACAAAATTAAAAAAATTGATCATTTATGACTTGAAATTGTTTGCAGCATAACGGTAAAAATAATATTATTTTTTCATTTTTACCAGTAACCTGCCTTATTAGTAGAACAAATTGTTATAAAACCGAGCAAGATGTTGTTAAACACTAATTATTTTCCAAGATAACGAAAGTTGATTAAAAATTCCTGTTAAGTTTCCGTTGCACTTTGTTGTTCAATTGAGATTAAGTTTTGTAGACCGTTGTAGATTAGAGTTTGATAAAAGCTGAGAGCAACGATTCTCGAGGAAATGCTATCTGACATTATCATGCAAGCATTTTCCTTTTACCGACCTGAAATTAACACTATGTTTTGAAAATTTCCCCAATTTTTAAAATATTTATTGGTTGGTTTAAAATATTTAGGTGGATTTTAACGCTACATTCACTATCTATAGAACACTTTAGAAACCCGTAGGGGTATTCTGTAAAAAAATTGCAATTTTGTATTCGACAGATTCGTTCGATCCGCGAATTTTATATAACTTTATATATACTTTATACAAGTATTGTATATTTTTAGATAACTTTTCGCAATATACGATTATTCCATTGGAATAAAATGTTATACAATATACCAATATTTTCAAAAGTGAATGGTAGTTAAGACGTCTACTTGAACCTCGCATACTTTGCAACTGTATACTATTAAAGAAATAGATATCCCTATCTATAATTATTAGTGTACATTATTATACTACGAGTAGTATCAGAAATATTATACGTTACATACATATGTATATAGAAACTTCTATTATAATATTGATTACCTATAAAAATTAACTAAAAATTATACCTCTGAAAATAGTTTATTTACAAACTAAAATCCACATCGCCATCGTTCATAGCTAATGTTTTCAACTTTAGGAAAAAGCTTAAGCATCTCAGACTACACCAAAAGTAAGCGAGACTTTGTAGTGATTGTTATTTTATGATTTCGAAACATACGGTACGGAAATGTGGTGAACTGTATGAGAAAGAAATATCTATTAATGGACTAATCTGAAGTAATCACATGAAATTATGTTATCAGCGGGCCTATCGAATACCTCCGAATGTAATATTAATTGACGTTAGTTATCAATAAGCTTTGCTATACCAAAGCTATCACTCAAAATCTCATAATATTTTGCTTATATAATATGTATATAGGTTGATATGCTTATCATCAGTATAGACCTATAGGTGACAATACCGTATATGTTATTCCAGGTCGTCATTAGCGTCCTCCAATTAAGCCGGGCGCGAAGCCCAGAAGCACACTGGGAGGAAGGCCCACCTCGGTGGGCGGCGTACCATGCGGGTTGCTCCTGATACTTCTCTGATAGCAGAATGTAGTTGTTGTAGTCTGTTTCGGCAGGCATCATGGTTGAGTATGTAAGTGATCCTGTGACACCTCATTAAGATGGGGGAGGTTTCGTTGGTTTTCAGTGGGCAGTAATGGATTTTCTAGCCGGTGAGTCCCACATAACTACCAACTAAATGCATTTCCCAACGTAAAAAAATTTGGTGTGCTTGTTACCCGTATAGTTTCATCTGCTGTAGCTAAGACGTACTTGATGTGAACTAATGTTGCAAAGCTCTTACCCCCACAACTGTACTTGATTACTACGTGAGATGTATTACCTTATAATTCGACAGAACAAGGATCTATGGAGGACGTCCATCGCTTATTAGATACTATGGCTTTATAACAACGACTAGTGATAGTAGCAAATCGTCAGAGCCGTTTCCGAGATACACGAAATAAATTTATTTATACATATGTATATAGACAAGTGGTAATCATGTTGAAAATGATTTGCACATGAAAATATCTAAGATG